AAAAATAAAGAAAAAATCTTCAAATGTATGAAGACACAAGAGAACAAGTCAAAACGTATGAGAATTAAAAAAGGAACATTTTCAAATTTAGATAATCTTGTTTTTAAATGGCTATAAAATTAATATAAATGGATTTCAAGCGTCTGTGGGTTGGCTTGGTCATTGGAGAAACAGGTAAAATGTTTCTTTATAGACGGTATGTGGAGAGGGTAACTTTTGTACAGCTGAAATGACCACGCCAAGGAAGGAAACAACTCTCCCTACAATTTTATTCAGGTATAAACATGATAAAATTCATAATGCAGATGAAGTTGGATTTTTTTTTCGTATGCAACCTAATAAGTCACTAAATCTTTAATCTGACTCGTGTAAAGGGGGAAGCACAGCAAATTTTGTCTTACAAGGATGTTCGCAGCAAGACCAGTGTGTGATAATAAAATTATATTAATAAAATAATAAAATTCCTGTTTCTAATAAGAAAATCAAAATCACGTCGCTTCTTCAAAGGAGTTAAGCACTTACCTTGAATATACAGAAATCAAAATAAAAGCTGGATGGATAGCAACTTGTTTGAAGAGCGGATACAAGAAATGAATACAAAGTTTACAAAAGAAAAGAAGAAAGTAGTGATCATAATAACTGCCCAGCACACCCGACGGTCGATAATCTAAAATCTATTAAGCTCATTTTTTTACCACCGCATCTTAACTTCAACCAATGGGTCAGAGATCAGGAAGTTATACGTTCTTTTTATTCTTTTTTATTATTTTTGTTTATTAGAGATCTTTGGCATTACATGAGCTAGTCGTAACTATCGGTAAAAGAAAAAATCTTCCTGTTTTTTTGATTTTAGGTGCAATGAAAATAATTGGTGTTGCATGGCAAAAAGTGAAAACCTCCACCATCGTTAATTGTTTTGCAAATGTAGGAATTTCCAAAGATCATCAAAAATCTGCCCATTCGGATGAAGACGACGACCCCTTTAAAGAGGTTCAAAGTCATATAAAAAAAACTGGATAACTTTTACCCTCTAGGTACAACAGCTAAAGATGTTGTATCTAGAGGGTAAAAGTTATTCGATGAAAACTTAATTAGCACAGTACTTTAACTTACAGGTGAACAGTTGATAAAAGTAGTTAAAAATGCAGCCAATATACATCATGCAAATGACAAGGAAGATGATGATGATAATGCAATCGATCCAGTTTGCCCAAATATTAGTGATATTCAACTGCAAGTGTTGTATGACTACATACCCTTCAGTCTTACGGGTGAAATATAGAGTGACATTATAACATTTTTTTATTTTTAATGTATTGTTTTTACCTTTGAGACCAAAACTATTGATAACTCGAATTGTTTTTACTAATCGGAAAAAGTTTGTGTTATAGAATGTCCCGATTACTCGAACATTCATATATATATATATATATATATATATATATATATATATATATATATATATATATATATATATATATATATATATTATATATATATATATATATATATATATATATATATATATATATATATATATATATATATATATATACATATATATATATATATATATATATATATATATATATATATATATATATATATATATATATTATTTAAATGAAGAAAAACAACATTATAATAGTACTTAAAGTTTCGTGCTTTTCGGCAATCATCAGCTATTAATTATAAATTAAAAACGTAAATTAACGTTTAAAAAACGAATCAAAATTTTACGGTAGAACGAGTTCTGACGTAATTTAAAAAGGCGCAATCATTTAATCTCCAGTATCAAACGAAGATAACAGGAATTTATTTAAATGTCGACATTTAGATAATATTTCATCTTTTTTAATAGGCAGGTTGTTTCCATTAAAAGATAAAATTTCTAATTTCTCATGAAGACAAAGTTTGCAGGTTTTTGTTTCTGGTTTGTAAGCTTCACAGCGTTTTATAATTTTCCACTTTATAATAGATGTTGTCCCTTTTTCTTTTAAACTCCAAATTTCTTTTGAAAGTTCAGTATCATTTTTATATTTGATCGCATTAAAAGATTTTAAATGGTTTGCGTACCTGAGCTTGAATGGTGTCTCACTGATACCAAAATATACTTTTTCCTTAGGATCTGGATCATCAGAACTCACAGTGGCTTGGTAAACAATATATTAGTTACTATACATTGGTTGCTTAATGGACAAGCGGTTTTAGTAATGCAGTTGCATGTTTTTATAGTTATATTTCTTTGACTTTGTAAAATCTTGTGGTTGTGTGAACTAATGATGGATTTAATATTTTGCATGTAGCTACAACTAACCTTGATCAAATTTCTATTAAATATTTTGCGTAGTTTGTGATTCACAGGTGAATGTAGATCCACCAATGCTAATAAACGATTTCCTATTTTTGTTTCTACATTTAGCCTGAACAGAGGGTTATACCATATAATATTTCGCTTGCGATTTTTATTTTTAGGTGATGTAACCTGGGGTTGGTATGTAAGCTTACAGTTATAGCCAGCTTTTTTAAAAGCCTCATCGTAAGATGGTGTATCATTATTAAAAACAATTTCATGTGATGACGCTGAAGATAATTTTATTTCAACAGTACGTTGAAGTCTTTTAATAACATTAGGCGGGTGGTTCACAGATTTAATCAGATTAAATCATAAGAATTAAAGTCTGTTATTCTAATTTTCAATTGATAACAAATAATAATAAAACTAATAATAAAAAAACAAAAAAATAAATAAACTTTTGGGATAATCTTTTGTCAAAACTCTAATAATTTAAACTGAATCATTGCAATTTTTTAAATATTTTATTATATACTTAATAAATTTATATAGTTGACAAATAAAGTTATATATTATACAGATGATACAGTTTAGAACTTTATTCTTCTACCTCTATCTAATTCTAGATTTTTGTCAACGTTATCTACATTTAAATATAATTCACCCAAGTCATTAATTTCATCTAATTCCAATTCAGATGAATCTTTTACTTTATCATCGCTATAAACTGCTAACAAACTTTTAACTTTTTCCGGTAGACACAATATTTTATTACTTTTCAATCTTTTAGTTAATGAGATTGAACTAATTAGGAGATCAAAAGTATGTATACCTAGAATGAAAATATCAAGTAAGTTTAGTTCTCTACTTTTTTTTCTTGCAATGATGTTCACGATTAAATTTATAAAATCTCTGTCGAGATTCAACTGCTTCCTCTCCCATTAAATCAAGTGGAACTGGTAAATTAATAATAACTTCCCTAGCATGAGCTTATACTTTTTCAATGGAAGCTGGGAACTTGAACCAATCATATATCTTTAATAACTTCTTATATGTATCATTGCAGTATTTATCAATTTCTTCTGGATCATTTGGACCTTTGCAATTATTTGCAGTTAGAATGTTATGTAATCTGATAATTTCTTCATCCATTTCTAAAATTTTGCTGAGTAATAGAGGATCAGAAAAAGCTCATGTGCATAAATTTCCGGTATTACTAGTTCCAGTAGCTGATCCACCAGCTTTTGGTTCATCAACTCTTAAACCAAATTCTTCAAACATCCTATCATGTATAATTTTTTCTCTCAAAAAATATTGATTTTTTGAAAACCTTTTCTATTTTCCAAGTTTTTTTCAAGTCTATATGAAATATGAATAAATTCAAAAAACCTAATACAAGCATGTAGTGGTCAAATGCCATAGCACAATGCCTGCCTATTTGTAACAAACCTTTTTTTAGATCACTCATCAAGTTAGGTGTGGCTTGACAATCGGACAATATTGTGTCGAAGAAGTCTCCGTGATGTAACTAAGATTTTTCCATCAATTGAAAGGATAAAACTATAGTTGATAAAAACATGCTTATGTCCTGAAAGGTAAACTTTATCAGGATATAAATTAAGAGTTTTTTTTTCAATTTCTTCCTTAGTTTTTAATACCACTTCTTTATTCTCATTTACATACTCCAGTATAATTGGTCTACAGAATCTAATACCTTGAGACATTAGGTTATTCCATAAAAGATTGTTTAAATCTGATTGGACATGTAATCGAAGAAGTGATGTTATCGTGACTAATAGATCCGAATCTTGAAGGTTATTTTGATTGGAATTATTAAAACGTTAATAGTATTTTTAGTGACTTGATGTTTCGTCCATATCCTGACAACTAATTAGTATTAATTCATCAAAGTTTTTCTTTTTATCATCAAAACTTTTAAAATTTTCTTCTCCCGTAGTTTCACAAGCCTTTTGGATGTATGATCCATAGATCCTGTAGTTTAACTTTGGCCTTTATTTCAGTAACTTTAATGGATGTTTTAAGGCGTGAGCACTCGTTTTTTATTTCAAAAATTACTCGATAAGATGGAAACCTGCATGGTGCTTCTTTATGGGTACTTTCAGAAACGCTTCCTGAAGGTTTGTTATGCAAGAAATTTATAAAAGCTCCTTCAGACGTCGTTTTCTCTCGCTATTGTATTTATTTTGTATTCTCTGACTTGAATTCTAGTAATGTATTTAAACCCACTATTTACATTTTCAAAAGTATTTACCGAAAGCTGAAAACATTGCACAATTTGTATTAAATTGATTTCCTCCATTATCTTAGTTCACAACAATAAAAATGTTAAAAAGTTTCTTTTTACAAAGTAAAAAGAAACTTTTTAACATCATTTAGAAATTCATGTGGTTTTGGTTGATTAGTGGGACATTAAAAATGCACTTTAGAATTATTTTTTCTTAAATTAGTTATGCATTTTAAAACCATAAACTCATGAAGTTAAAATAAAAAATTTTTCCTTTCAGTAACAACACGAAAACAAATTTATTTTGGTCTTTCATGCTTTAAAGTAGTTTGTATGTTTTTAAATTTTTGTAATGAATGAAAAAAAAATTATTTTTATCGAAGTTTTTTTTTTGTTTAAAAAAACATAAGTTTTTCAAAATTATTTAGCTCTCAAGATCGCGGGTGATCGCAGCTACACTTTTCAGGGTAGTTAGTAGATACTATAGACTAAAAAATATCAAAATATGGAAAAGGTACAAATTGGAACAATTTTTTAATTCTTTATCAAAGTTAAAATTTAGTACTTTTGTGATGAATTTTTTACTTTTAATGCTAAAAGTTTTACTACCTACTTTTTCAAGAAACTTTTTATTTTTTATTTTTAACAGTTTATACTATAATCTTTCCAATGATGTATATATTCTCAATTCTTCAATGATCTATATATTAAAAAAATAATAATTACTAAAATCCAGCAATTTGAGAATTTTATCGAAAATTCATTAAAAAAACTAACTTCAAGAAGCCACTACAATTGAGCCTGCCAAATTTAGAATTTCATAAACTGGAAAATTCTTAGTGAGGGTATTAGTTACAAAACCCACTATCAGACATAATGATTGAAACAAGTTACTTTTCTGATTTTTGGCCATCTAATTTCCCACTGTGCACTGTGAGTTCTGATGATCCAGATCCTAAAGAAAAAGTATATTTTGATATCAGTGAGACACCATTCAAGCTCAGGTACGCAAATCATTTAAAATCTTTTAATGCGATCAAATATAAAAATGATACTGAACTTTCAAAAGAAGTTTGAAGTTTAAAAGAAAAAGGTACAACACCTATTATAAAGTGGAAAATTATAAAACGTTATGAAGCTTACAAACCAGAAACAAAAACCTGCAAACTTATTTATTATATATATATATATATATATATATATATATATATATATATATATATATATATATATATATATATATATATATATATATATATATATATATATATATATATATATATATATATATATATATATATATATATATATATATATATATATATATATATATATATATATATATATATATATATATATATACAACAAGGCTGCAAACAACCACTGTTAGAGTTGAAAATTACTGGAAAAAAAAGATGAAATTTAAGAAGCAAAATAATGATTCAAGGGTTTTGGGGTCAAAATAATGAGTTTCAGGATCTCGGTATTGGACCCGGCATTAAAACAAGATATAATATGATATTTACCTAATATTAACTAGAACCACAACAAAAGCAATTTTAATCAAAAACTTATTAATTAAATATGAGCAGCCGTAGCGCAGTGGTAGCGAACTTGCCTCAAAAACAAAGGTTCAAACCCTACCTCTGGGCAAGTTTTGCAACATCAGTTTGGAAGGAGGCGTGAACTTCCCATTAAATTCTCATCTGCGGTGCTCTTTGATACGACCGTAAGGACTTCTTGGCGCATCTAAATTAAAAAAAAAAATTAAAATAGTAAAAGCAATAATAAAATCCGTAATTTTTTTATGTGTTTTGGAAATCTCAGGAACCACAACGCGTGAAAGTTTTTTCCGAACATTTGTACTGAATAGTTTATCAAAAAAAAATCCCAGCCCAACCTTAACACCTTTCGGATTCAGGCCCATCAAAAAACTCTTTCTAAATATTTACTGCATGCGACTAATAACACTACTTACTAATAGTGTCATTTTTTTGTATTTTTATTATCAACACTTAAATCTAACAAAACGCATTAGATCATAATATTGTAAATGAAAGTTCTTTGTCTTTTTGACTCTTATGCCTAAAGCTTTTGACATTTAATTGAAAAAAAGTCAATGTAACTATTCTTCCCTAAACTTGTACGTACATTTAACCATGTCGTTAAATTGTACGTACATTTAACCATGTCGTTAAATTGTAGGTACATTTAACCATGTCGTTAAATTGTACGTATATTTAACCATATCTTTAAAGCCTATTCATATAAGTTTGACTTTCGAGCATTAGAGTTGCACTCAATTTCTTGCTTGTGTTATAATTTCTTTTAGTTTTGTAACTATAAATAGCAATATTGTTAAGCATCAACTTATGTTTTTTTTTTATATAAATCTTTATTTAGTTGAATTGGTTAAAATTCAAGCAACAGTAGAAAGTTGTTCCACTTTGTCTTACTATCCATTATTAATGATATTTGTTCTCTAAATGCAGTCTTGATATTTTTACAAAATGTTTTTCTAAGGAAGCAATTTTCTAAACATTATTATCACTTTGTGTATCTTTTTAATGAATAATGACGTAATAAAACTTTATTAGCTCACTTTGAAGTATTTTTCCCATTGCAGACCAAATCTTTTTCAATCTCCTCATTTATGAACAAATCAACTTCAGAAAGTTTATTACCAAATTCTGGCCGATTTGTAATGGGTTACCTCTTTTGCTTTAAAACCTTAATTAAAGTTGTGTGCTGTAGACAAGCATATTTATTGGTTAGCGACCAGCAGCCATCTATTTTCAAAATACTAGCTTGATCTGTCATTGTAACCACAATGTCCTTGTGTAAATTAAAACTGCTGTTTAACAAATTTTGCTTAAGTTCAATGTACTAGAATTGGTTACTTTCACTAAACCTTCAAAGATGAAAAGTTTATCTATAAAATTAATAGTTGTATAATAAATATTTTCAAGTGACATCAATTTTATGAATTATACCAAACCTTGATTTTTTTGTTTACGGGAAAGTGATACATATGAAAATAATGCGCCTGGTTTTTCCCACCCCGTAGAAAATAGATAAAAAATACGTCATGCTTATTTGATTTTGAAATTTAAATCTAAAATATTTTATGTACCCAAATATTTGCACAAAGATTATTTTTACAATCAAATAAGAATGTAACTTTAAAATTATTTTTACAATCAAATAAGAATGTAACTTTCTTTTAAAATTATTCTACTCATTACAGGTATAATCTTTATAATATCAGGTAGATGCACCCCAAAAACCAAGGCACCTCAAAAACAACGCGGTCAGTTAAAAGGCTCTAAAAATTTAAATATGCATTTTAAAACCATATGAGAAATTTTTTCTCATAAAGGAATGTTTCAGCACCAATTAAAACAAAAGAAATCAATATTAACAATAAAGGAGTTTTTTTTACAACCGTTTTAAACTTAAAAAGTGCTGAGAAAAATAATTGAGTTTTAAGTAATATTGCTATAAAATATTGGTTTTTTAGACTAAGTTTGCAAATCCCATCTAGTTTGCTTATCTTTTATATGCTATTTACATAAATCAAACCATTTTTATTATAAGTAGAAGGGAAACTTAAAAAAAAAAGTTTAAAAATTACATTTTAACATGTGGTTTTTGGGGTGCGCTAAGAAAAAGTTAAAAAAAAAAAGTTTATCCAGAACAAGTCTTTACAACAAATTTAAAACAAATAGTTCATTCAATAAAAAAGATTTTGAATATCACAGTTATTTCTTTCTAGCAGCTGCAGATAAAATCATTTCTGGGTTTTTTCCATTTACTTTGCAGTTTGCTTTGCTGCAAATGGACCGCATTATATTGAGGCAGGTTGGACACTGCTTTAAGCCAAAAGCTTTACATTTTATCTCCTTGCAATAGCATTGAAGCTTACATGTTATAAAGAGTCTTGTAACTTCCTCTTTCTTTTTTGCAGCATTTTCTTTTTTTTCCTTTTCTTTTTCTTTTTTTCTTTATATGCTTTCAACTAGAGTTATTACATCGCTTGCAGTCATTGATCCATGTACTTGGGTAACACTTGTTGCATCTTTTGTTAATTTTGGCTTTATCTTTTTGGTTGTCATAAAACCAGGTATTTCTTCCAGCTGAATGCTCTTTTCATGAAGTTCATCAATCAACTCCATCGCTTGTTCAAATTTTGATTTCCAATAATTTGCTGAACCACGTCTTTTATCCGGCGAAGAAATTAGTGGAGAAGTCTGTTTTTCTCGTTCAATACAGTTTTCTGCTCGTTCGAATTTGTCTTTTTGCATAAAATCAACACTCAATGCATTTTCGGCAACACCAACCCTTTTAGCAGATTTTACAAGCGTTTCTTTGGTTGTCCACTTGTCCCATATATTAGCTAAAACTAACATAAAAGCTTCTTTGTTTAAGGAACAGATATCAGAAAACATAGAGTCTTTTTGCTTACGATACTCACTATGAATGTTCTTGTTTACTTGGTCAAGAAGTTGAGTAACTCCTGTTGTGTCTGGTGGAGTAAGAAAAAGATGAATTCTTTTGGACTCCAAAAAAGATAATACATCAAAGTCTAGTCTAGAGCTATGTCCATCTGATAATAAGACGATGGGTCGCTTAACATTTTTTTCATTTAAGTAGACATCAAACTCTTTCAATGCTGCCAAGAAAGATTCATGGGTTGATACTCCATTATCTGTAGTTGTGACCAACAAATGGGGAATTTTATTTACTGCTTCTGTTGGAACCATAGAACTAGTAATACCAGTACATTTAAATATTACCTGACACATACATATGTCGCCTAAAAATAAAAAATAAAAAAGTTTTTTAATGCTTGTATTTATTTATATTCAATTTTTTCTTGAACCATAACATATTATAGCATACCTGAAAATGAAACAAATGGTTGAATTGTGACACATTCTCTGTTTTCTCTATACATTCTTTGACATGCATCTCCTTTGCCAGCATAAAATAATCCAGAAGTGGTACCATCAATTCCATAATTAATAAACTGGGGTGTTTCATCACAATTAAATATTCGGCATGTATCAACACTGCCATTCCAAACCCCTGTTTCAATCATTTTTTCATTTATCATAATACCAACATCTACTAGTTCTTTAGCAAGGGAATCTGAAATAATGTTATTATAGGGAAATGAACAAATTAAAAAAAAAAGTACATTCAGATTTATGAATTTATATTTGTTCATTAATAACTTACCTAAATGATTACATGCCATTTCTCTTGAACAATTAAGTGCACGGTTTATCGAGACACTCCCTTGGCGTTTGATTGTAAGGCTGCTATGTTTAGCATTAAAACGAAGCCAAAATGATCGACTCAATCTATAAAATGGAATATTTACATAAAGAAAAGAATCATATTACCCGTCTTACATACTTTTATAGGATCATTGTAGATTAAATGAATTCAATTAAACTTACTTTCCCTTTTCTAGAGCAGCTCGAGCATTTAATGATAACTTTTGAAACTTCCGTCCACCTTTCATTTTTGTATTAGTGTAATCTCTCACACGAAGCACATTAATAATTAATTTGGTTATGTCCTGTTTGTTAATTGCCTGTAAACATCTGTTCTTATTTTTTATAAAACGCACAATAGATGCTTCTTCATCATCTGTAAGTATAGTACAATAATCTCGTTCTTTTCTATTAATCACTTTTCCATCTAATCGCCTGTTGATTGTCTCTCTATCTTTAATAAGGGGAAACAAACCTGTCTTTAATGCTGCTTGTCCCCTTCCATTAAATTTTTTGCACCAATTTATTGCAGCTTCTAACTGTTTATTTTTATCATTTGTGTGTTTTCTGGCCACTATGGCATCAGCTTTAGTACTGAGATTTCTTGATTTGTTTATACGTAGATGTAATGCAGATGATGGTTTCATTTTACTTTATAATATTATATTAAACAAAATTCTAAAACAACAAAAAACATAACATAGTTCAATGGTAGTATTTCCACAATACATTAACTTTTTTTTTTTTTTTTTATGATGACAAAGAGCTACTATCTTAGAGTACATCCTAAAATTTTTTTATTGAATTATTTTATATATTTTCTAAAATATTCAAATAACCAACGTGGTTTTTGGGGTGCACATGATGTGGTTTTTGTGGTACATTGAAGTACATCCTAAAAATTTAAGTTAGCAATGATACAATCATCCTAAGACTAATTTATTATAACTATCTTCTACAAAAAATCAGGTCTTAATTCCAAATAGTTTAGATTTTATAGCCAATTTTGTCAATGTTGTTTTTGGGGTGCATGAAAAAAAGTGTGGTTAACTTCAACATTCTAGAAAAAGAACTCAAGCGAGACTTAAAAAACCATACCTACCAGGAAGAACCCTATTTAGGCTTATCTTTCAGAACCCATATTAACAAAATTATGATCTGTCCCTAGAAAATAAATCTAGACCCTCCTACTTTCGCGTGGCTTTTGGGGTGCAACCACCTGTATAATCTTTCAAAAATTTAAATTATCGAAACAAAACACGTTATTATACATTAATAATAAATTAAAAAGATAAGATAACCGGCATGACATAAAGTTTTAAATTTCTAAATGTTTATTCTCATAACTAAATTTGTCCTAGAGTTTTGTTTTTAAGAAGCTTTACTTTTTCACAGTAAAACTGAAAGCATACAATACACTCTCTGTATTTTATACTTGGTAAAGAACTTTTTTATCGCTGCGCATAATTTTTTTTTCTTTCAAATAATTTGTTTTTGTTTTAATTTATTTTTTTATTGTGATATTGATTTGCTCTTACAGAGACGGGATTGATTGACAATCCCGGTATATTTAGATTATTAAAAATACCGGGATCTTGGGATTGGAAACAATAACGGTATGTGTGCGTGTCGATACTTTTTAATAGTAGTGTAATGATTTTAAATTTTTTTATTAAACTTAGTTTATTCGCGTAATATACAATAAGATAATTTTGCATTTATATTAAACGTACCTCATATTTTATTGATATGTACATGTATTGTTCATGTGGTATATTCAAAAATACGTTACTTGAGAGTTTGACTTGTTTGGCATAACTTTTTTTTGTATCAAAATTTTACCTTATATTCCTTATAACATTGTATAGCATGTTTAACAAAATAGATTGCCTTTTAAAACAAACTGATCTACACCAATTAACTGTGCACTACATTCTCTAAATGTAATTTCAAAAGAGTTTAGGTAAATATTGACTAAATGCAGTTTTAAGTACAAAACTGAAAACTTTTTACTTAAGCCTGCTTGTTTCGTAATTTCAAGTTCTTTTTTGTAACTTAAAATTTATAACGAAATGCCAAATGCTGTTTTACTTTATCAAAACCGTGTTCGTATTGGATCGGTGTTTATAGGAATAGTAACTTTTATTTGTATAGTTACTTCAACTAGTGTACCAGTGTGGAAAATAAGTAAAACTTTTTTTGTTGTTGAAACTTCTGGGTTGTGGCAGTTCTGTAATAAAGTAAGCAAAGATTGCACATCGTTTGGAAATGTTGAAGGTTTCATGAAGGCTTGTCAAGCCTTTGGTGTCATTGCAACTTTGCTAAGCTTTTTAACAGTTTTGGTAGTTTGGTGTCAGTGGTTTTCATCTAAAGTCAACACAGTTGCTATATTATACGTTAGTTCAGGTTAATTAATTTTTTTTTTCTGCTTTGATAACTAAATTTTTAATTCAACCAAAACAAAAGACAATAAATTTTGATTCAAGTTAAACTAAAGGTATGGTTTGATGAAATGAAACTATGGCACGATACAAACGAATTATTGTACGCTACTAAGTCGTACTTTAAATTTATGACGTTAAAAACGTCATAAATTTAAATGCTGGTTTTTTAATTCATTTTTAATAAAATCGGCTTAGCTAGCGATCGGTAACACAAACAAGAAAAATATTTGTAGCTAACTTTTTTAATAAAAGAGTAGTTGGCGCCCAAAACTAATAACTAACCCTTAGCATAATATTATGTTAAAATTTTTTCTATTTTTGTATCTTATATTAATTTACTTTTTTATGCTATAATATACAAAGTATGATAAATTATTACTTATTCAAATTGAAAGCATTAAATTTGTAAAGTTATTATAATTATTACGTGTTATTGTTACACTTGTTGTTACCATATTAATTGCATCTTAATCACAAGAAACTTATTCTTACGATTATGATTGCAAACTTAAGTTCATTTTGTGGACAAATGTTTTAAGAAAAATATAGAAAATAATAGCAGGAAAAGCAAAATAGTCAGCAAGAAAAATGTAGAAAATCAGGGTGAGTTATAATAATTTTGTTTTTCTTTATTTACATTTGTAAAAATCTAAAATATGTAAAACATATAATTTCAACCAAAAAGCTGGAAAAAAAAAAAGTTAGACCAAGTCTTAAGCTACCGGACTAACTGGACTCAGTCTATCAAAACTGCATATTTGTGGCTAAATTTTTAATCTCGTGTACAGCGATTAAATACACCCAATCAATTAGCTTTTGCATATTGCACCAACATTACGCTCTTACTTTTTTATTTACTAACATGTTAGTATAAATATTATTTTACAACTAATGTCATTATCACTCATAATTTTTTATTAGTATGTGCACATACTAATAAAAAATTATGAGTGATAATGACATTAGTTGTAAAATAATATTTCTTTAATTAGACAACAGGTATAAATAAAGCGTAAAAATTATTAAATCTTTAACCGTGACAATTGGTATTATTAAGAGTAAAAAAGAAAAAAAGACGAAAAATAAAGGAGAAAAATATTGAAGAAATTCTTTTGAAATTAGGTGGCTAAATATAAATGATGTAGATATTTCGGTATCACAAAATATTTTTGAAACAAGAAAGAAAGATAGATTTACAAACTTTTTTTAATAAAGAAAGGACGTTTATACAAGAAGAAGCTGTTTATAATTGCATTGATAAAAGCTATTCTTTGTTCCTTGGTGTTCTTGAATTATTAGACATTTGTGACAAAAAAATAGAATTTTTATATCCATATATCCAGATATCTAGCTATCTAAAAATCTAGGCTTTGGATTTGTTAATTATTGTTTAGCTAAGTATAAATTATTATTAAGCTAAATTGTTTATCTCCATAAAACCCTTATAAAAACTATGAGTCATTTTCTTTATTGTTGTAAATTATTTTTAGATGATTTTTCTACCCCTTTTCAGGTCCATCATTATGTTCGTTTAGTTCTAAAAAAACATTAGAAAAACTTATGCGGATGGATATTTTCCAAAGGCTTAATTTATACATCACATACATCACAAAATGATATTGTTTCGCAGGGACAAATTTAGTGACAATATAATAAAGGAAATCAAAAAGTCTACAAATTTTATATAGTTTTTTATTACTTACTAAAATACTTAATCAGCGTTTTATTAAAAGTTATTTTTGATTTTTCTTTGGATATTACGATTTATGAAATAATGGCATGGGCACTTTACAAAAGCTCTTTATTCCTGCTGTTTTCTGACTTGAAGAAATGCATGAATTTGAATATTATAATTTATCCTAAATTACTTTTACCTTTCCGTTGACTTCATATAAATGGGAGATTTCTTCAATTAGGCGCTTAAAAGGTTATAAAATAACAATATAAAAAAGTTGGAAAAAAAAATGGTAGTAGAAGTCTAAATCGTTTAGGTTAGCTTTAATGAGTATTTTCAAAAAGTTATCTATAGATAATAAACAAGATTTTAACAAGCTTGTCATAAATGCGCGAGGATTGTGTTTTAAATAAAATTTAAATATAATAAAAGTACAATTTAAAAAATACAACTTTGCTACCTTTTAGTAAACAGCTTTGTAAAAACTTTGCAAAAGTTGCAGTTTTTTGCAAACAACAAAGCTATTTTCATAGCAACATTTCTTTGTAAAAACTTTTTTTGGCATTGAACAGTTATTGGTATAAAGTATATGAACTCTTTATTGTTATTTTTTTAATTCTATTTTACTTCTATCAAAGCTGCAGATAACCACTATTACTTTACTGCAGATAACCACTATTATTTTGGGAGTTGAAAAAAAAGTTAAATAAAGTTAAAGAGTTAAAGAGCAAAGAAACGACAGAAGAAAATTTGTAGGTTGTATGAGTCAGCAAAATTTGTAGGTTGTATGAGTCAGCAAAATTTGTAGGTTGTATGAGTCAGCAAAATTTGTAGGTTGTATGAGTCAAGAAAATTTGTAGGTTGTATGAATCAGGAAAACATAAAAACGGAAGAGATTTCCAAAGGGTGGGGAAAAAAACTAGACAAATAAAAGTTTTTAGAGCATGCAGGGACAGAAAGGATATGACTTTGTTCAATGAAGAGTCTAAAATGAGATTTTGATAACTAAACAAAAGAAACTAAAATGAGATTTTGATAATTAAACAAAAGATGATTGCTGCAGCATGGACCTTGGACTTTGGATCTTGCCTAAAAGAAAAAGATTCATGGAAGAACCAGCCTAAGTATGACAATAGTATTCAATACAGAGATTTGTAGAGGTAGAGAATTAAATCAAGAGAGAAAAAATGCACGATAGAGAGAAGCAATCTTAGCAGATGCTATCGATTGTATCGATTGTATCGATTTTCATCTGAGATCATTAATAAACGATAATTTAAGAAAACATAAAAAGATGGTTACCATAAAAAGAAGGTTACCATTCATTAATATAGGAATGTTGACAAAATTGAAATAGCTTGCAGTAAATATCTGAGTTTTGTTAAAGTTTAAATTCATAAGTCAATACAAGTCCAAATCTGTTACAGAATTGAGATCAGATTCAAGATTGGCTGCCTATTCTGAGCAATCGAAACGAGAAGACTTTTCGTCAAAACAGGATTATAAAGTTGAGTTGTCAACAAATAGAACCACATTAGATGTACTTATTAGTAACTGATTACTTATAATGTAAATAATAGAAGGTATAAAGTAAAGTCTACAACTTTTCGTTTAGATATTTTTTTTTTATTATTTTTTATTTTGTATGTATTTAAGTGCTCCCAGAAGTTCTTACGGTCTTATCATAGAGCACCGCTGGTGAGCATTTAACAGGAAATTCACGCCTCCTTCCGTACCAATGTCGCTTGTTGGGCTAGAGCTGGCGTCGAACCTCGGACCTCTGGGTTCTGAGCCAGAACTCTAACCACTGCGGAACAAATGTAACTAATAACTTATATTTATATATTGAATGTTCTAATTTGAACTTTGAATCCATTGAACATTTGGACATTGGCCTTTAAAGTTTAAAATTAAATTTTGAACTTAAAGTTATACAGGAAACATTTTTCTAATTAATAATGTTTAGTTATTTTATTACTACTTTGTAAATGAATAAAGGGCCCTGGCCGTCCTTAGGAAAAGAGGAGCAAGAGGGGGAGGGTTAAAACTTCTATTTCAAAACTATTTAAAGCTTTTCATATACACTCTTCTTTGTTTTCACTAACTTATGAGCAGGGGCGCACAGAGACTTGTTGATGCCCAGGGTATTTTATAAAAAAATTTTCTCAAACTCCCCCCTCTGACCACCATTAAAAAAAATAAGAAAAATAAAGCTCTTTATAATAGCTTATTTTTTCTTATTTTCTTATTTTTCTAGTTCTAGTTCACAAAATAATTTAAAAACTCTGTAAATAAGTTCACAAATCAAACAATTATACAAAACTAAGGAAAAAAACATTTCTGGATTTAGTATAAATATTTTCTGACTTTTACCAAGACTTCACGAACTTTTCTAGCAGCAAAGTTGGAAGTTACAACTTCGTAGTTAACTTTTTTTGCAAGATCTGTTTCGATTAAAGGATAAGACAGTCGCCAAGACAATTCTGTCCCATGGTAGTTCCTAGAGTGTTCTTGACGAGAGCTAACTTGATAAAAGATTTCTCGCTTTCAGCCACAGATACTAGCAAAGTAAGATACCTGGGGGAAAATTTCCTTCAAATTTCTTTGCATAAATGCTATTCAGAAGACCTAATGGCCGATCATTTGTCAGTAGATGGCGTTAAACAGACGAAAAATGGCGGATCTCATCAATAAACTCTTCACTAAGATCAAGATACTGATAATTTTTATTTGTCAGTTGATGATGCCCCATAAACGTGATGCCAGGGGGAAACTGACCCAAATCCCCCACTCTCTTTGCACACCTGCTTATGAGGCACCCCTAGGTTCTAACTCCAATGTTACTGTTAATTTGTAGTTACTGGATAGTTACTGTTAGTTTGTTACTAAATAGTTACTGAATCTAAATCTTATAAGAGAACTGAATAGTTATCTAGATCTTATTAGCGAACTGAATAGTTATCTAAATCTTATTAGAGAAGTGAATAGTTATTTAAATACTGAATTATCTCAATCTTATTAGCTGAGTTTTTGAAGCCCTTCACTAATTTATTTGTGGCAATCTTGACAAATTAAAAAACTTCAGCCTTGCAACTTTTTATCAAAAAAATATCAAAATACAAGCAACAAGAATAATACTAATTTGCAGTTTATTATTCACTAAATAATACATAAAAAATTTGAGGATAAAACTGAATGTTGTTGCGTTTCATAAAATTCTCGTATAGAATATTTAAAAGATCTAAAACAAAAGTATTATCGATTTTTTTTTTGTTTGCTTTGCAATAATTAAATCACATGTTATTTATAGCACTTTATTTCAATTGCTCTTATTTCATTTGACAACTTCCCCGTTGTTGTCATGCCACTGAGTAAAATCAAACCCTAACAATTGATAAAACTTCAATGGCAAAGCATTTAAAATAAAGTTTTTTTTTGGGATTTTAATAAAGCTTTTTTGCGATTGTACAAATATTGCGTCGTAGTGCTTCAGCTTACCTTTAAGCTTTTTTGAGACTAGATTGTATTAATAACGCATCGAAGTGCGTTATTAATACAATCTAATTTTAGTATTTTGAAATTATACTGTAATAATAAACAATCTGATTGTAATAATAAACAATAGATTAATAGATTAATTAGACAAAATTGTAATAATAAACAATAAATAATAATAAACACATCGAAGTGTTTCAACTTAAGACAAAGCTTTTTGAGATTAATTTGTAATAATAAACACGTCGAAGTGTTTCAGCTTATGACTAAGCTTTTTTGAGATAAGATTATATTAATGGCACGTCGAAGTGCTTCAGGAAGTAACTTAAACTTGAAAATTCCAGTTATTCCATAATAATATATAGTTAAGTTTATTTTTCGGAAATACATATTGTAAAAATATGTATTGACTTATTTTTAATCTCTTTGCAACAATTGCTGTGTCGATAGCCAATATATATTTTTTTGGCTTATATATATTTGGGAAGACAATGACTTCACCTAGAAAGTTTTTAACGCAATAAATATTTAAGTAAATATACTATTTTTATTGATTTATATACAAAAAGAGAAGCAAATATTTATTTTTTTAAGATTACTAAACAAAATTTTCTTTTAAATTTATTTATTGACCGCAGTTTAGTAGTGGGCGAAATGTCACTATTTTGCGTAATAAGTTTCTTCTTTTTTATAGGAGTATGCATGGCTGTCTCATTATCGATTTATGCATCGAAGTATAAAGACATAGAATATGGTTGGGCGTATATTGTTGGTTGGTGTGGTGTAGCTTGTGCATTTATTGGATTTTTTATGAAATTATTGTTATGAGTTTCTTTATAGTTTTTTTTTTCAATTTTTTTTTAACTAATCATTACAGGTAGATTCCCCTTAAAAACACATACTTTCTCAAACACTACACAAATAAACTTTGAGCTCTGGGTTCCACTAATGTCAATGAAATTATTAAACAATAATTAAATCAGTTTCTCTTCTCTAAACATCCTAGATGACAAATTAATTAAAAATATACCTTTTTTACAATTTTAAAATCCCCCAAAAGTAAATGCAAGTCAAATTTTAAGTTTTTAAAATGGTTCATTATGATCCCCTACTGTTTAATAATTTAATTTTAAGTTTGCATATATATATATATATATATATATATATATATATATATATATATATATATATATATATATATATATATATATATATGGTTAGAATTCAATAAATACGGCTGCGTATAAACTTTTTTTAAATATATATATATATATTTTAATATTTTTTTTAAATATTATATGTATATATATAATTATTTCGATATTTCGCTGATCTATTGTGATCAGCGTCATCAGGTATAATAAACAAAAAAAAAACTAAACTTTTTTTTTTTTTTTTTTTGTTTATTATACCTGATGACGCTGATCACAATAGATCAGCGAAATATTGAAATAATTATATATTAAAGAAAAAATATATATATATTTAAAAAAAGTTTATACGCAGCCGTATTTATTGAATTCTAACCATATATATATATATATATATATATATATATATATATATATATATATATATATATATATATATATATTTGTATATATATATATATATATATATATATATATATATATATAAATATATATATATATATATATATTTGTATATATATATATATATATATATATATATTTATATATATATATATATATATATATATATATATATATATATATATATATATATTTATATATATATATATATATATATATATATATATATATATATATATATATATATATATATATATATATATATATATATATATGTATATATATATATATATATATATACATACATATGTATGTATATATGTATATACATATACATACATATGTATGTATATATATATATACATACATATGTATGTATATATTATATATATATATATATATATATATATATATATATATATATATATATATATATATATATATATATATATATATATATATATATATATATATATTGACATATACATATAAATATATATACATACATATATATATATATATATATATATATATATATATATATATATATATATATATATATATATAATATATATATATATATATGTATATATATATATATGAAGACCTCAGTAGAAAAACCGGCGTTGTCACATTTTTCTGATTTTGAGAAAATCAATTTTTATAGTTTAAAACGCTTTTTAAAGTTTCTATTATACTCAAAAAATTTGATTTTAGGATTTTTATATATATATATATATATATATATATATATATATATATATATATATATATATATATATATATATATATATATATATATATATATATATATATATATATATATATATATATATATATATATATATATATATATATATATATATATATATATATATATGAAGACCTCAGTAGAAAAACCGGCGTTGTCACATTTTTCTGATTTTGAGAAAATCAATTTTTATAGTTTAAAACGCTTTTTAAAGTTTCTATTATACTCAAAAAATTTGATTTTAGGATTTTTATATTGATTAACTATATTTATATCGAATTATTTATTTAAAAAAAAAAAAAAAAAAAAATTTAAGATATTTTTTTAAGAAATTAAGTCTTACATTAATAAATGGACATCACTGCGTTTTTTATTGGAAACGTTTCCCTGGCGTAATTACTATTTTTAACTACCCTCATAACGTAAATAAAAACAATTTCAGACCCAAAATGTTCATAAGCCTCTTGCTTGTCTAAAAAAAAAAGGCTCCCAAAAACTTAAGGGGCTTTAAATGAAGATAGACCACATTGCTAGCTTTTCTTATTTATCCTACTAAAACTAATTAGGAAGTTGAAAATCGGATGTGTAGTAAGTTTTTTCAATAAAAACAAGCAATACAAAACTATTGAGAAACAATCATTAAAAGAAAATTATTTAATCTGTATCTGAAATTTCTGATTCGGAATCTGGTGTTCCTGTGTTAGTAGTGACTAGATTATCAAAAAAACTATGATTATCAGGTTTGCAAAGGCGCTTAAGAACCTGTAGGTCATTATATTTGGCAGCATTTATTGGCAAAACTGTTGGATAGAGATTATACTGACTTAGAGCAGTGTCTTTTTGATTCTTTCGTCGACATTTTACCAACACAGTATTTTTGATATTGCCATTCCAGTTGTTACGGTAGAGAAGCAATGAAGGATGAATATCTTGAAAAACAAGTTCTATACTGGTCGAGTTTTTATCGGACATGTGCACTTATAATATTGTAAAACAAGAAGTCCGAAAATCTCAAAAAATGTATATTTAAAAAGTTCACAACATTAAAAGGTGAAGGTTTTTTTTGACAATTCTTGAAAACCTGACGCCAATCCTCTGGGATTTCAACATCAGCCTTTATATTAACATTTACCATGTCACGATCACATTCTATATAAGAATGACCTCTTATGGGAAATGAAACTTTAATACACCTAAATCTTTTTTGATAGTGGACCATCGAATGCAAGAAACGAAACACAGTGTAGTTTTTATTCTGTCCTACACATCCATCACAAAAGAAATGTAATTCAGAAACGTTGTCAGAAAGATGATTAATAATAAAATGATAAAGCATAGAGCAAACATCATCAGCTCCTTTTTTTCCTACTGTTTCATCATATGTATAAAGAAAAACCTCATCACTTGATAGGATGTGAATATTAAATGAAAAAAAATTTAAGCTGCCTTCGGTAATACACATCATTAGTGGATTTATTAGGCAATGGCAAATTCTTCTGAAAATCAAAAGCAATAGCTTCAAATGTGTCTGAGATTTTTGTTCTATTTTTTGCATCTGATTTTCTGCTATAAAATGAAGCTGCCTTTCTTGTGTGAAGTTCATGCTCTGTTTCAAGATCTTTCTTTATTTTTTTAAGTTTGATAATGTCTTCATTGACGGCATTTAAAAGCTCTTGGTCATTGTGTTTTATATTTACAATGAACTCATCACAAGCCAAGCAAGTGTCTTTTCGTGGAAAACCAAACCCAATGTTAAAATTATTGTTAAATATTACTCTATATGTTTCATATCCTACTTTAACTGTTGGGTAAGCAAGTTTGAAAAGTTCAAACATTTTGGAGACATTCAGATTTTCAGATAAATAAATTTTTTTATTTTTTCCAAGAGCATAATGAGACGACCTTCCTCTAAAAGAAGATATATGTTTTCGGATAGCTTCTCTGTCACTTTCTGATAACTTGTGCGGTCGATTTTTATGCTTTCCTCTACCGTCAATTGGAGGGTGACCTAAGGGAACAAAGTTACAATCATTATTATATGAATCATAGTAATAAATATAATCATTAATAAGTAATTAAAAAAATTATAAATTATATTTCTAAAAAGATCTACTAACCACTTGTAGCAATTGATTCCCGTATTGATTCAATTCTAGATTTTGTTATTCCAAACAAAGACATCATAGCTTTAATGCAAACCGGTACTTCAACAGCTGCTTGTGCTCTTTGCACTATAAGAATATGAAAAATTATGTGAATATTCTTTATCTTTTTCCTTTCGTGATCTTTGTCTTTTGATATTGTGAATTTTTATTAATGTGGCTAAGTATGCGTCCTGACTATCTTTAGATAAATATTCGTTAAAGTTTTTAATTAATTCGTTTCTTTCTTCAACAGTAACAACCTCAAAACATGCCAGTCTTTTGCATTACAGTCTGTTCCACTAATGTGACTTGATAAAATGTGCATTTTTTTTCTATTTTTTAAATTAACATTAATCTTCCTTTTTCTTGATTTTTCTGTTACAACAGGACAATCGTTGCTCGCCATTATGCTTATAATGTTTTCTTTTCTTTTCCCGCATAATTCAACCAATTATTACGGATTCTAGTAACCACGTGATTTTTACAACATTCAAAACTACGGACATAGCTGTTTGTTCCAAACTTAACGCTGGACATCCCTGATTATTCCATTGGGATCTGTTTCATTTTATCCTCTTTAAAGAGGACTGGGATGTTTTTTTCATAAGTTTTTTCATAAAAATATATGAAATAAATCATACTTAATCGAAAAATAGTAATAACTCAAATTTTTTTAAAATGTGACATCGCTGGTTTTTCCAATGAGGTCTTCATATATATATTAGTGGCGTACCTACAGGAGGAGGAGGGCTCACCGCCCTGGGTGTCATCCACTTTTGGGTGACACCCAATTTATTAATATCTTTTATTTTGTTTTGGTTTATAATTAAACAGTCTTACATAAAAAAATAAGTGGGTATTTATTTACACGACCTACGAAATGCTGAATGCTGAAAGATATAGTTATCATTATTTAGAAAGTATAATCGCTTAGCTTTCTTCTTATAATATAAACAAAATGAAATAAAGACTTAATGTCGTTTAAAAAAATTCTTCATAATCAAAACATACTCAAATTTTGTTTGGGTTTGGATAACTTTGTGTGGGTGCGATTTTAACCGTTTTTCACTTTATCAGCTTTCTTAGTCTTATTCGTTAATTTTTTCAATCATAGTACTGCATCACATTGCAGAATATCAAAACCATCTAATTCGAACTGAAACATTCGAAAACATATTCTTTGTTTATGATAACAATTTTAAAAATTTACCATATTACATATTACTGAAAATTTTATAAAATTTGTGCATAAATTTGTAATAGATACATTTTGAAACAATATCGTATATTATTAATTGTTTTAATTTTTCGTTTTTAGTTCTTAATAAATACCATTTAATTTAAAAAGTTTTTAGTGCTTAAATTGTAAGTTTTAAAATTTTGTTTTAATATTTAGTTTAAAGTTTTAAATGATTTGTATAACAATGCCGCGTGGGGTGCATAAAATGAAGAGATTAAGTGGACATCAACAAAGAAAATTAAAGGAAGCTAAACTTAAATACCTTAAAAAATATGCAGGCTCAATACTTCAATACATAGATAACCCAAATGACGGCCAATGTTCTTCAAAAGATAGTACTTTGATACAAACTCCATTAGTAGTAGAAGAAAGTGAAAATGAAGCTTCTAATAATAGCACCTTCACTGTTGACATGGAAAAAAAACGACCAAGAAAATGAGCTGAATTTCCACAAGTATTAGAAATCACCGATTTAGAGAAACATGATGGAAAAACTAACTTTAAAATCTTTTCTGACGTCTCTTTTTGGAAATTACCGCTTCAAGACCATCTTCAAATTGAGATTATTAAAAAGGGAAGTTCTACATTTCAAAACAAAGATGGACCATTTAATTATTTAATTTACAACAAAATGTCACTTAAATGAAAAGCCATGATCGTCACCTTTCCTCTGAATGGTTTTATAAACAAATGAAAAATGGTGAAAAAATTTTACGTTCATGGATGGTATATTCACCCAACACTGGAAATTTATACTGTTTTTGTTGTCGATTATTTGCCAGTAATATTACCAATTTGACATCAAAATTCGTCACTGGATTTCAAAAATGGTGGAAATTAAATCCAAAAGTATATGAGCATGAATCATCTGACAATCATTTGCGATTTTAGGAAAAATGGAAGGTTCTGCAAACAAATTTAAAATCTAATAATACAATCGATGTCGAAATTATTTACAGAAAATGAAAAGAAAAAATGGCGAAACATATTATAAAGGCTCTTAGATGTAACTTTGTTTCTTGCTAAGCAAAATTTGCCATTTCGTGGACATCAGGAGGAAGATTCGTCTTTGAATGAAGGTAATTTTTTAGAATTAGTGGGTTTGCTTTCAACGTATATACGTTGAAAGCAAACCCACTAATTCTAAAAAATTTAATATAGGGTCATATGACCCTATATTAAAGGAGCATTTAATTAAATTAAGGGAAAGTTATTCCAAGGTTTCGTATCTTTCCCCAAAAATTCAAAATGAATTTATCAGTTGTCTGGCAAGTCACGTAAAAGACAAACTTATTGAAGAAATAAAATCCGCGCGATATTTTGGCATGATGTTTGATAGCACTCCTGATATATCTCACGTGGATCAAATGTCTGAGGTGATCAGGTATATTAAAATTGAAAATAAAAAGGTAGAAATAAAAGAGGCATTTTTAGGATTTTTTCCATTAAAAGGAAAAAAGGCTCTGAAAATAAGTACTGAAATACTTAAACAATTAGAATCTGATGAGTTAGATATAATGATGTGCCGCTCCCAGGGATATGATAATGCTGCTACAGTAGCTGGAATCCACGGAGGTGTACAGAAAGTTATTTCTGATAAAAGTAATAAGGCAATTTTTAATGGATGTATTGATCATTCCCTAAATTTATGTGTTCAGCATTCTTTTGCAGTAAATGCATCTTGCGTTACATTTTTTGGAACAATTGATGCAATTTATTCATTTTTTGCTGCTTCTACGCATAGGTGGGAAGTGTTAATAAAGCATACCAATATATTAGTGAAAAGATTGTCGACCACGCGTTGGAGTGTGGAGTGCACATTAAAACGCCGTAGGCAACTAAATAAAGCACTTTGTGTATCAAAAGAACACGATATTCCAATTGAGAGAAGAATAAGATTGAGAAAGAAGATGGCGGGAGAATTGGTATGTGATACTAAACTCACAATAGAAGAAGAAAATAAAAGAACTATGTATGAATGTATTGATCGTCTAAAGGTTGAACTTCAAGCAAGATAAAAACCATTAAAAACTATTTTAGATACGTTTGAATGTGTCCAAGCTAAATTTTTAGTTTCTGAACATAATAATGAAGAAGACTTGACGTTATCTATTAAAAATTTAACTTCATTTTATGATGAAATATCCCATGATGAACTAATTTTGGAAATTCCACGACTCAAGCAACATCTTAAAGCAGCAGGAATTAATTTGGAAGTAGTTAAAAATTGGACAGCTTTAGATATTTTGACTTTCATCACAGAATGGGACTTCACAGAAACGCTTCCAGTGCTTTCTCTTACCTTAAGATTATTCTTAACTATTTGCGTGTCCGTTGCACCATGGGAAAGGAGCTTTTCAAAATTAAAACTGATAAAAAATTATTTACGATCAACTATGGGCCAATCAAGACTTTCTGATCTTGCAATATTATATATAGAGAGTGAGTTTGTCAAAAGCATTGACTTTGATAACGTAATTGATAAATTTGCAAGTTTAAAAGTAAGAAAAGGAACATTTTAAAGGTTAAGTGTTATGAAAATTTAGGATAATAATTATATAATGATTAAAAAAATTTAGTTTAGTGTTTGAAAAATTTAGTTTAGTGATAAAAACATTTAGTTTAGTAATAAAAACA